AATACAGATAAAAGTGTAGAAATATGTATTCAAATCGTGTTATACGATTTAAGACTATTTAATATTAAATAAAAATACCGAGCTTTCTAAAGAATAATAATTATAAGTTCGACATCGTCATGTTTAAAAAACATTTGTTACAACGTATCTTTGTAAAATAACAGATCTAATATATTATCAATTCAGTCAATCAGTTCTGCTATCTCAATAGTATGTACAAAGTTTTATCGAGAAATAGAAACTTGGAAATAGATGTGTGATGCCTCTTTATTTAAGCAATAAGATCGATTAGCATCTTCTAGTCAAATGAGTCTTGTTATTTACATCTCCGTGAATAACAAACATACAAATTATGAACTTATTGCATTTAAAGATGTATTTTTTAGCAGAGTGAAATAAGACATTGCCATACTGAGAACCTGCAACAATACAATAATTACAATTTTACATTTTCAGGAATGATTAAAATTTCTCGCCATGGCAAACAAAACAGCGTTAAATCATAAAGAATCGTAGAGAATCAAAGTAACATTAATCATAACGAGTTAGGAACGAATCAATCAAATTTTATTTCGAAATATAGATCACATAGAACATTGCTATTAATAATTTGTTTCAAAAGTTATTATTATATTACTATAATACATATTATTGGTACAATAAAAAAGAAATAAAATAAAAAGATATCGTGTGTATAATACTATAAAATTATAGATGTTGCAAAATACAAATATAACAAAATAAATATTGCAAATATAAAAATAATATTATATCTATGAGGTGTGGTAATTAATAAATTAAACTACCTTGGTTTAGTCCTCAACGTTGGATATTCAGAGTTACAAGAATTTTACATTTCATAATTTTGAAATTCTTTGTTTGATTTAATTTTCTTACTAAGCAGACAAATTATGAAATACAAAATACAAAATGAAACTAAATTTCTTAAATTTTTGAAGTCTAATATAAATTAGTATAATCGTGTCTGACTGTGAGATATTGTTTAAGAGCTATTGTTTAAGTACGAACATTTCATCATTAAAATCATTGTAGAATTAAATTTCAAAGACAAAAGGAACAAATCTGATACGCCGTAGATTGATTACGTGTGAACTGTGTGACTTATGCCATGGCAGTTAGGTTAATAGGAGCGGTCTGACGTGAACACCTACAGTAGTGAAAGGGTGAATGGTAGAAAAAGTAAAATTATTGCGAAGATATAGTGGAATTAATTACCCCGGTAAATGTTTGGAGAGAAACAGGAAAAAATTTTCCGGCTGTTAAGCAACAAAATTTATGCGATCTCATGATGATAATTATCACATTTTTTCGTATAATGGTACCCGCTTCGTTCATAGGGAAGATTGTCCATGGTATTGAGAATATTGCATTGCTGACGTTGCCACTTTGTTGCATCACGTCGTCGCAACTATACGTGCACATGAACAGCTGACAGAACACAACGCCCAAATTCAGTACCAAACTGACTTTTTTGGAAGGGTGTGTATCCGCCTATACAGACACCATGATTAATATGAAACTAATGAAATAGTATGATATACCGTAACAGTATAATAATAAATTATATAATGATATTAAATTGATGTAGTATACACGGC